TCTCTCTCTCTCTCTCTCTCTCTCTCTCTCTCTCTCTCTCTCTCTCTCTCTCTCTCTCTCTCTCTCTCTCTCTCTCTCTCTCTCTCGCTTGCTCGGTCGCTCGCTCGCTCTCTCTCTCTCTCTCTCGCTCTGTGTGTGCGTGTGTGTATGTGTTATCGAAATCCGTTTAAGCGCACAAGAGGCGACAAGCTATCCACAGCTCTCCGTTCCTCCTCCCTCTCCACGTCTAAGTCGACCACGATCAGATCGCGTACCCACTTCCACCTCACCTCCTCAATCCTCCTCCTCCGTCCTCTTGCTCCTACCCTTCCAAATTCCCATTCCCAGAGCTCCCAAGTTCACTGTCAGGGCGGCGATGGCGCCCCTCGATCCTCCCCTCCTCCTCCTCCTCCTCCCTCCTCTTGCTGCGACCCGCACAATGCCATGCTGCCTATGCCATGCCCTTGCGATTGAGGTCGTGGAAGTTGCTACTCTCGGTTCCTTCTCCCTCTTCACAAATCAATCCTCCCTTTGCCTTTTCCTCCGATCACGGGTTCACATCCCATTTCCCATGCCGTTCCGTCCCATGTCGTTTTCAGTCACCTTGAAGAAAGTTGGACACCAAGACTCCCATGTCTTTGTCGCGGACTCGCGGCCCCAATCAGATCGCGTACCAATCCAGTTGGACATTAAGACTCCCATATGCCGTTTTCAGTAAACTTTAAGTCGGTGGTGGAAAGTTGAAGTCGGTGCAGGAAATTTGGACACCATTCGTTCTGGAATATTGTCTTTCCAGTAACAAAAAAAAAAAAAAAAGAAGTTGGAGATCAAGACTTCCACCGACTTCCAAGTTAACTGAAAACGAGCCGTTCCGTCGACGTAACAGCATGGGACATGGGATTTGAACCCATGATCGGAGGAAATGGGACGGGAACCCATGAAGTAATCTTGGTGTGTGCATTGATTTAGCAAAGCAATCTTAGCAAAGACTTCAGCCACTCAGACATTGCTCGCGGGGAAAATGACTTCAGTCACTCAGCGATTGGAACTGCGACTTCTGGCGTGACAGACCAACTAAGCTAGTTTCCTAAAGGGGTAATAACGGACTTGTTGGAACCGCTGGGTCTATCGTTGTTATCGAGGGCACTACCAACTGCGCTAAGTAACACCCGACCTGGATGCACCTGACCGCAATTGAGTAACTATTGGATTCCTTCGACTCCGAAGAGTTTCGCGGCACAAGGGAGGGCATACTATACGCACACTACTACAGTCTTCCCCCGAATACAACGTACGGTCATTATAGCTGAATTTAGACTGAAAGATCCACCAAATTCAGCTATAATGACCGTACGTTGTATTCGGGGGAAGACTGTAGATATCTTCGACTCGGGTGTGAATGTGATTGCGGTCAGATTGCGGTCAGATTCTTCCGGCCGTAATTACGGTCAGATTCATTAAAAAAAGTGCGAGTGTGAGTATGCCCTGAATCGCACGAGGAAGCGCGCTTAAAATACGCAACCAAACGTATTGCTGCTACTTGACAAGAATTGAATTACAATAATATTATTAGTAAAATTGCTGCTACTTGACAAGAATTGAATTACAATAATATTATTAGTAATTATTACTAAAATATTTATACAGGACCAAAAAAAAAAAAAAAAAAACCTACAGAATATATGGAAAAGACTGCCTGTCGCTCTCTTGCAATCTTTTTGACTAAGTGTACTCCACAACAAGATATAGGGCCTCGCTCCACTACACATCGACACTACATGTATCTGGACCTCCAAAGCGTCCCGATGCATCCGAAATCTTAGTCTCGTTCCGAAAGCACCTGCTCCAGAAACCGTCCAAATGCATATGGAATGTTGAGTAGTGGATTTAGTGGAGCAAGGCCCACAGCTCTTGTTTCTGCATGCATGCGCATACATCAACACCTAAATTAAATTAAAGTAAATTAAATTAAATTAAATTAAATTGAATTAAATTAAATTAAATTAAATTAAAAATAAAGAAAACTGATATAGATATAAACTGACTGCAGAAAACGTAAAGCGAGCATCAAGGATCTTATACCATCAAACGCATTCTCCTCTTCTTTCGGCGGGAAAAAAAAAAAAACGCCAACCTTACGGGTCAAAAAACGAATTACAATTTACAACTGTGTCACTGCTGTTGTACCATTTTCTCCCAATTCTCGTTGGGAGACCCGAGGAGCGGCATTGATTACTTCGGACGTGCGGACAGCAAGAGGATGTATCATACTATCATGTATATGTTTGCCTCTCTTCTTCTTCTATTTGCCTGATGACGCTTTCTATGATGCTATGATGATTACTACCGTGATCCATCCCCACCTCGAGGGACGACTCTCACCCTAACGAGATCAAGCAAGCGCTATATATATCGTCAGATGAATATATAAAAGTCACAGACATATATCGTCACAAACAGAACTGCCCGGTATATGTAAAAGTCACGCAAAAAAGGTGCGCTGTACAATCCCACAGACAAACATGATTACTTTTATTAGAATGCAAAGAAACAGTTCAACAAACTGTTGCTGATAGCAGCACAACACCACGAAAAGGGAAACATTCACTAATTCACAAATAGAATCGAGTCCAGATTCATTCGGCATTCCTGTGAAAGAATGCGAGCAAACGAACAGCGGTCAGGGAGGCGGGGCGGGGGGGGGGGGGGGGGGGGGGGGGGGGGGGGGGTGCAGGGGAGGGGGGCGGAGAAAAGCGAAGGAGAAGCTGAAAGAAAGGATCAAAGGGCGGTGTGAGAAAGGTCACAGCTCATCATACTAACCAGCAATGTTTCCCGGTGTGTATACTCCCAGGGAGCGCCCACATTCATTGGGCATTCCTGCGAAAGAATTCCAGCAGACGAGCAGCAGTCGGAGGGAAGTGCAAGGTAAACGAAAAGGGAGATGAGGAGAGTAGAGAGAGAAAGAGGACAGAGAGAGAGAGAGAGAGAGAGAGAGAGAGGAGCAAAGGTCACACAATACCATCAATACCATACCAGCAACGTTTCCCAGTGTGTATACTCTCCCATGGAGCACCCCACATGCATTGGGCATTCCTGTGAAGGAATTCGATTCGAGCAGACGAGCAGCAGCCGGAGGGCGTTGCGAGGAAAACGAAAAGGAAGGTGTGGAAAGCAGAGAGAGGAGACAGAGATAGGGGAGAGAAAGAGAGAGAGAGAGAGAGAGAGAGAGAGAGAGAGAGAGAGAGAGAGAGAAAGAGGAGAGAGAGAGAGAGAGGAAAAAGGGTCAGACAATAGCATCAATACCATACTTACCAGCAATGTTTCCCGGTGAGAAAACTCCCAGGGGGCTGAATATGATCCCTCCCGCTGCAGGCACTTCCAGCTGGGGAAACTCCGCTGTCTCGTCTGAACCCGGCGCGGGAATATAAGGTTCATGCTTTGGATCGCAGGCGGGGTCACACTTGCGCATGTGTTGCTTGAAGTAGGGACCCCCCGCCGAGATGATTTGGTGGCATTTTCGGCATTCGCGGAACCTGGTCGCTTTCCTTGGGCGGTAGGTCATAAAATCCCCTTGTCCCCCACAAGAGACGCTAGCGCTATGGCCATCCCCCGCCGACACTGCTGCTCCTCCTGCTGTTGCCGCCTCTGTTCCCGCTGCGAATTCCGCAAATTTGCGCGTGTGCGGAAGTATGGGCGGGGAACTTCTGGAAGTCGCGAATGATGTGTGCGGAGTAGCCGGGGGTACGAGCGCAGTGTTGCACTGAGAGATCGGTGACACGGGGGACAGCGGAGAAACCGACATACAGGAAACCGAACTCCCGTGGAGGGCGGGCGATGGTGAGCAGCTGAGCCCGGCGGTCGGCGGCGACCGCTCGTCTGGGGACGAAGATGCCAGCACTTGTGACTGCCCGGGCGTGCGCGCCGCCGACCTTGCCTCCTCTTCCTCATCATCACCGTTCGTTGTATCCAAATTCCCATCTCCTTCACTGATTCCTGTCGAACCTGCCCGGGCTCGACCGCTCGGCAATTCCCTGTCCTTGTCGTTGCCAGGACCCGCCGCTTCGTAGTGCTGCTGCTGCAGTTGGCTCTGCTGTTCTTGAAACTGCTGCTCATGATGATGAGGAGGAGGAGGAAGAGGAGGAGGAGGAGGAGGAGGAGGACGCAGAGTGAGTTGCTGCTCGTTATTACGGTTGATGTCGGTTGAGGGCTGATGATGATGGCCATGGAGAGGAAGGGGGGGAGGAGGAGGAGAAGGAGAATCTTCTCGTTGCTGGTGCTGGCCACGATGATGGGACGTCTCAACGGGGGTGTTGAGGACTGAGGAGGAATGACAGCCTACAAGAGCCCCGGACAGAGAAGAGCCTGCAGGGGAAGACAAGGACGACGGGGAAAGGGGGGGAACAGAAGCGACCCCGCGTCCAGAAGTGACTGTGCCTCCGACATGAGCAGTAGCAGTCGTTGCAATCGTTGTACCAATGGGAGTAATTGGAGCGATAGGAGGAAGAGAGGGAGAGGAGGAGGAAGGAGGACCGAGAGGAGGAGACCCAGGTCCCGTCGGATTCGATTTGTCTGAAGGGGTGCCCCCCTTGTCGTATTGAGAGACCTCTACTACAACAGAATGAGTCCTCGTCGCCTTCGTCGTCGTCGTTGAGTCAAGCTGCTGACTAGGGTGATTGGGTGAGGGCGAAGACAAAGCCAGGGGGGACGACGAGAAGGAAGAGAGCCCGCCGCCGGCATCCCCTCCTCCTCCTCCTCCTCCTCCTCTTCTTCCCCTTCCACCACCGCAAGCACCTCCTCCTCCCCCTCCTCCCCCTCCTTCGCCAGTCGAGATGCTTGTGGCAGCTGCCGCGTTGGTAATCTGAGACACTGCGGCCTGATGATGCACAAGTCGTTGCTGAGCATCAGGGCTTGCCATGGGGGATGACTTTCTACCATCACCTCCCCTGCTACGTCTCCCCTCTCCCGCATCCTCCGCTCGCAACAACTATGATCTCTAATGACTCTGCTGCTGAGAACGCTGCCCGTGGCGTCGGCTTCGAGCCACGCAAGCGCCATTGTGACCCTCCACGCGTCCGTGATCTAGACCTTCCATTACACCTCTCCGTCATCACATAACCGAGCTCGCCTTCCCTCCGCCTCCAGGTGAATAGCCCGTGCGGCCCTGGGAGGTAGGGCAGGGGGGGCAGGAGGAGGAGGAGAGGGAACCAGATGCGCGTGGGCGAGAGAGAAGAGCGGGCTGCAGAGCAAGCAAGGCAGGCACGAGAAGCACAAGCGCAATCAGGCGGCGGACCAATTGCTGACTAACTGCCGTGACGACCGGGGGGAAAAAACCCAACCGCTTCAAACTCCCGCAATAAATCGTTGGATTGCTCGCTCCTCTGAGGTGGGAATTGCAATTGGAATTGGAGTCCAACAGGACAAGGGAGAAGAGGGGGGGAGGGAGGGAGGGAGGGAAGACAAGGAGGACACAGCAGCAGACAGCTGCTTGGTTCTACCCTGCGAATGAAACGCACCACCGACCTCTACCTGCCTGCCTGCCTGCCCGTCTGCCTCCCGACGAAGTCGACCCCGCCAGCCAGCGACCGGGCCGCCGCCCCGCCCACACCCGCACAGAGCAAGCGACCGAGCTGCGGTCGGCGCATCGCGCAGGGCAGAGAGAGATTCCAAGCGTCCAAGCGATACGCGCGGGCGCGATCTCCTCTCGCAGGGCAGAGAGAGATTCCAAGCGTCCAAGCGATACGCCCGGGCGCGATCTCCTCTCGCTAGAACTGCCTACCCGGCTTACAACTACGCTCACGCCGAGAGCCAGAGCGGGAACGTTCCGCCTGTCTCCCTTACCAGTCAAATCCCAAGGCCAACCACCGGCTCCTACCCCTGAGGTCAGACTGGGACTCTACCCGCCTACACTCGGCCACGCGGCAACTGAACTTAGCTGAGCTTCCCCTTCTGCAATCCTACCTCCCCTTCTCCCACAGTCCATCGACCAACCGAAACAAGGATCGCCCGCCTCTCTCTCTCTCTCTCTCACACACACACACACACACACACACACACACACGGATGCACATACACGTACGCACATACACACCGACACTCGCGCGCGCGCGCGTCCAAAGCCTGCTGTTTCTGCCCTGCTTACCGTAGACGGACTTGAGCCCGCATCCCTTCGTGTATGAGTTCACCTCACCAACCCGCGCAGTAGCATCACCTGCTGCAGCTGCTCGCCCGTGGAGGGTGACTCGCGCACGCCGATGAGCAAGATCTCACCGATTCTGCACAGACTTTGAGTCCTCTTTCACTACCAAGCGCCTCGTCTTCGCTTCCAGCAGCAGCAGCAGAAGCCTGAAAGCTGCCAGCCAGACGTGTCCGTGATTGCCCACTCCCCGCGGCCTTCGGCGCCCCTACTGATTGCCCCGCCCGTCTTTCCGCAGCAGGCCCGCCTGCTCCCGCCTGCTCCCGACTGCTCCCGGCTGCAACCGGCTGTTCCTGGCTGCTACTGCCCCCCGCCACAATCTCGGGGGCAAACCGAAGCGTTGCTCCCAATTCCCCCCCCCCCCCCCCCCCCTCTCCTACCTCTGTCGCCCTCTCCCCCTCTCCCTCTCCCTCTCCCTCTCTCCTTGTCATTCCCGCTGTATTTTCGCTCTCTCGATTGTGACGAGAACCCAAAACAAACCGGCAGGGCTCCTCCTCCCCGACGCCCTTTCCCGAGGGACGCCCTCCCCGCCCAGCGGCTCTTCGCCAAACTGCGCTGAGCTCCGCCGACGCGTGCTGCGTCTTCCCCAGCTGAGCCCATACTCACACGAGAACTCTCTTGCTTATTTCTGGACGCAATTGCCGCCAGATGCAGACACGTTGGGCCGTAACTGCCGTCACATACATTTAAGCTAAGTTTAGTCCTGGTGTGAGTATCCCCGAAGTCTCAGCCTGCTGACCACCACCGTCTGCCTAATCCCTCCCACTTCGCGCTGTTCCTGCACACTCCTCTGCTCTGCAGAGCGGCAGGCACTTCCTGCAGTCTGGTCTGCTGCGCCGGCCCTTGCAGGCGTACCGGTAGTGCTGCACTACGGTAGCACCGCCGCGCCGTGATTTCTCGGGTTTCCCAAAAAAAAAAAAAAAAAAGAGGATTTTTCGGGCCCCGTCCAATCACTCCTCCCGCCACCAAACGAATTTCCAAACGAATTTCGGAATTTCCGACAGAAGAGCGACTGGCCGACCAACCCGCCCACGCATCCGCCCCCGCGCCCACCCACTTTGCTCTCGAGCGCCTCTCTGATCTGAATCAGTTCAGTGCAGTCAGGCGAGAACGGAGCAGCACTCAGGGAGTAAAATATAAATTCCCCATCTCCTTCCTCCGGTGCGGGATCATATATTCCGCGCCACTCTTCAGCTGCGTTCTGATCTGCCAATGCCCTGCCTATCGTCCCTCCTGCATGACTGCCTGACTGCCTGCAGAACTCCTCCACCTGCCTGCAGGGCCTGCACACCTTCGAGCAGCACCCCTGCCTGCTCTGCTACTGGTAGTCTGCCTTCCCGCCTCACCAACCAACCATTCCCAGCAGACCCCCCCCCTGGTGCCATGCTTCCCCGCCCCTTCTCCAGTCGAAAAAGGGGAAAATAAATAGGAAAATAGGACACCTGGATAATAGGGGTTGCAGGCTGATGGCGCTGGATGAAAATTGTGCTTCAGGCCCTAACTGCCATCCAACGTCTCCCCGGCATGGTGATTCACCTTCCTCAGGATGGCTCCAGATGGTGGTGGCTCCAGATGGGTGAATCCAAGGTAACTTGGTTTTCTCCATTGCACCTGCCCTCGCTTGTCACCGTCATCCTCCATGGACACGTAGTCTCGCCATGATATTCTTAGTTGTAGATTGATTTACCATGAGGGCACCATCATCCTCCATGGACAGGTAGTCTAGCCATAATATTCTTTGTTGTAGATTGACTTGCCATGAGGGCACAGTACGCAGCCCGCAAGTGTGTTCCTAAGGCCTGTTTTGAGTCAGAGGAAAAGAGGGGTAAAACAAGGAGGGGTAGAGGTTCAGAGGAATATATCTTTCTTTTTTTTCTTTTTTTTTTTGGAGAACCAACCAACTTTATTGCTCAAATCAAAGGAAACAGGGGCCGGGAAACCCCACAATACTCCCGAAAAAATACTGGGGCCAATACCCAGCTTAGGCTCCTGGAAACCGGGTCCAGTGTCCCTTTGAACTAAACAAAAGTTTCCCAAAAATTCAAAAAGGTACCCCTGGAGATCTTCTTGAAAAAACTATCCTCTTCCACCATCCAAATGCTCGTGTTCGCAGCCCGTCAGGGTTGTGTTTCCCCCCCTGAATTATGAACAGATAGTACATCAAAGAACACGCTTTCAGGACGCATTCATGATAGACTCGAGACGTAAAGCACGACGCAACGACGCGAGAGCACAACGCAACAACGCGAAGTACGACACAAGCATATCGAAAATGATTGAATAACATTCAGCTCGAAAACCGCCTCAACATTCCATCAACCCAAGATCCACCCTCGCGTCCACAGTACCCGTCTAATGCTAGTGGCAGAGCCAACTAGTGAAAGAAAGAGCCAACAGCTCGAAATTGAAACGGTGCAGGTCCACTTTTCCCAAATAGCAGAGTTCCTCGAATAGAAAACGTACATGTTGTATTCGAATACAACTTGTACCCTTTCTATTCGGATTTCGAAAAAAAAAAATCTTGTATTCCGATAAAATTACTACTTCGTTTTGTTGGATGTCAGCGCCTGCCCTTGTGATCCCCGCCACTGACATGCTGCATGCTGCAG